GAGAGGAAGGGAGAAGATGCGAGAGGGAGAGGGGGAGGGGGAGAGAGAGAGAGAGAGAGAGAGAGAGAGAGAGAGAGAGAGAGTCGGTGACCCTTAAATAAACGAAACACACGTGCTGACGAGAGGAGATCCTTTTGCAGGGAACTGAGAATGCACGCGCCTCGTCGTCGATCGCTTTGATACATGTGATTCCATCGCAGTGCATCCTGTAAAACCCTGTAAATAGATCCTGTAGGCCTTTAGATGAATTTAGAAGTAGCTAATTAGTGTTGAGACGCAAACGAATTTGCTAGAATAAAATGAGGACTAATTGAAAATGAGGACTAAATAAAATTGCATAATAGAGTCAGTAGAGATAATAGCTTAAAATCATTACGAATTTTCCTTCAGCCCGTTTGCTGTCAGTAGTGATGTCGATTGATTAATTGTATACGCGATTGTGCTCATTCAATCGCTCAGCCACATTGCTCGTTTGCGAGCAGGTATGTAGATTGCTTTATCGACACTTTGCCTGTTCAAAATAATGCGATTTTATAGTCAGACTGATCTGGCATTTTTTCCTTCCGGCTTTTCGATTAATCGCGACATCGCGAGATCAAATATATTATCATCGGCCGGGATGGCATGTGCTTTTCAATGACAACAAATTGTCAGAAAATAAAAAGAAACGATCTCGCGATGACGATGTGAAAACAGAGACAGGTTTGCGGGAGTAGAAATTCATCGAAGAAAATTGACTAGCGGGATTGACTGAGCCAAAGGGTTGTCTTTCCGGTGTTGCAGGATGCACGCGGTTGGATTGCACTCGGCGCTGGCCATCAAGCGTCAGCGAATGCGTCGGGATGAGCAGCGTCGCGCGCGCGAGCGTCGTTATAGCGCGCAATCGGGCGAAAGTGGCCTGACATCGCCTAGGGCATCGACCGGATCGCTGGACCACCATGGCAGGCATCACAAGAGCACGCATGGCGGAGCGCGTGCGGCCGGCCAGGGTATGCTGGACACGAAGGTGGTCACTTCGATCGGAATGCTGCACATCGGCGTGGTATTCCTGGTACTGGGCGCTTTTCTGCTGATGAGCGGCTTGTTGCCAGGCGATCTCGCTCACTGGGGCACTAAAGCATCTGGCGGCTGGTGGAACGAGCTGGTCGCGGTCGGCCTGTTCGCAATTCTAGTAGGCATTTTCTTGATTGTTCTGAATCGTGTGATCGCCAAGAAGGAGGAGGATGATCTCGAAGAATATGTACAACGGCAACTCACCAGATCTCGATCAGGACATCGATTGGAGCGGGATGTGGAAACCGGTGGACTGACTACTCGCCACGCCAGACGGGCGAAACAGATGAGGCAGGTGTCATCGGACACATGTCTTGAGATCAAGGATAATGGCAAGGTCAACGGTGGCGATTCGCCGCCACGGAGCCCGCCACCGGCATACACGCCGCAGGTCGCGATCAATGGCGAAAATCAGTCGACGGTCCAATCGGCACTGTACCTGGAGCAGATTACCGAGGAAGAAATCATCAGCGACCGTATCGAAACCTCGACCACCAACAGTCTCAGTCCGAGCTCTCCTAGTGAGACTCGAGAGCTGCTGCAGAATGCGAGATACTCGAAGCAGAATGGAAATCCGCAGCAAGTTCATCGGCCGCTTTATGTCTCTAAGATCTAGATCTTAGATCGAAAGAGGATGAAAGGAGACGATAGACGACAAGCGTATAACGTGTATACGCGGAAAAGTTTATCTTCTATCCATTCTTATCGGCGTCTTCCGACTGCAATATTCTTGAGAATGAAATTCCGCAGTCAGCGAACATCATTCTCTCGCATCGGACAAATCGTATAATGAGTATAATGACACAATTGTGAGGAAACGCAAGACTGGAAAAAAAAGACAGTAAGAGAAACGAAATGTGACGTTGCAAGACGTTGTAATCAAAACAGGCAGACCCGAGAAGATGGAATCTCCGCATGGATTAAGTAGCGACTTTTACGTGGCGTAACGCAACAGTCCTCATATTTATATCGAATCGAGATATACATGATATCCGAACATTTCTTTCGAGAGGAAAGAACTTCCGAAGAAATTTGAAAAGCTAAAAGCTTTCGATAATCATACACACATAATCACAAACAAACGTATACATATGTATAACACACTCGACCGATGGATGAAGTTAGGAAATCGAAAAATCGAATTCAAGGACCAAGAACATTACCCGTGGAGATTATATCATTAGAAAGAAGCACAACTTTGCGAAACGACTTTGTTATTAAAACGTATTCTATATAGATATGTATACTGGGAAGTACTCGATAAATAATCTGTTGGAAATAATCGTTTCTACTTAAAAGACAAAAAAAGACAAAATTTATTAGGTGTATAACAGCATATATTACGATAATTCTTTATGCATTTTTCACTTGTCCTGCGTAAGTTCGATCCTCTTATCCCCTAGTAGTTATTTCTAAACATCGAGTTCTAAATTACATTTGCCATACACCGCAAACCCAAATATGTAAAATGTAACTTTAATATATGTGTATAATTTCGTTTTATAAAAATCATTCTATACACTGAGAAAAAAAGTTGCTATTTCAAAAAAATATTAATTGATTCAACTAAACTGTGGCGGTCACGGGCTGTCAATCAAATATTTGTTAATTCAAATAAATAACATGTTTTAAATTACAAGATTTTGTTAATCTAAATATTTGAATAAATAATTACAAACAAAACACATTTTTAGTCAAGTTAAACTTTTTTTCTCAGTGTACTACACATTTAAGGCCCAGTTGCATCAATGTCACTTTAACTTTAAGCGAGACTTAAAATTCTATTTGTCTCGTTTTAGCCAAAAAGAGACAGAGACAGGAACAGTTTTAAGATTACTTAAAATTAAAGTAACAGTGCAATCAGGCCTAAATGTAGTACTTTCATTTTTGTATGCGGGTGTAATGTAGTATTCTTATTACATTGAGAAAAAAGTTATCAACTTGGCTAAATTTTAGTTCGTAATGATTATTTAGTTCAAATATTTATATATTTAGATTAACAAAATCTTGTAATTTAAAACATATTATTTGTTTGAATTAACAAATATTTAATTGAATTAACAAATATTTGCTTGATAATTCGTGATCGCTACATTTAATTAAATCAACTCACATTTTTTTGAAACAACTTTTTTTTCTCAGTGTACATGGAAAACTATCACACACATATTTTAAAGTCACTTGAATTTGCAGTGTAAAAATGCGATTGTTATTTTTTTTCTTTTTTATCATTAATTGAGCAGGTTGATCTCATTAAAAAATTATGAAAATTAATATTTACATTGTTATAATGAACATAATCGTTTGTACAGTATCAGATATGAAAAAGTTATTTATGTTATTAATCGCTACGGCGTGCGAAGACATAAGATCTCTATATCTCTACCAAGCTAGCAGGATCAAATGAGCAGAATCAAAAAATATCTTTTTAATTATTTAGTGCTCATTTTGTGCTAATTTGTGCTACAAAGAATAATTTTGTACTATATGCCATTTAAAAGAAACGCATGATGTTATTTCATCAAGCTAACATGACCATAAGAAAAAAAAAGAAAAAAGAGGAAAATGAAAGAAAGTATCTTTAGTGATTTTGTGCTTCAAAACATAACTTCGTAACTATATATTATTGTATTTATTAGGAGAAACTCGTGATTTTGTTAACTTATTATGAAGTTAGCTTATTAGGTTCAAGAAATATCCTTGATAGAAGTACTATAATTTATATCATCAAAATATAAAGTTTTAAATTTGTGCTCCCGCCGTTTCTTTGGAAACCCCGACTCCTACAAGATAGAGTATTCTTTGCCACGAGCAGAATCAGTCGCAATTTTTACAATAGAAATGATATAAAATGCCGATATAATTGTTATTATGCGCGATTATAATTATATTTTGTAGCACAAATTAGCACAAAATAAACACTAAATAGTTCGAAAGATCTTTTTCGATTCTGCTCATTTAATCCTAGTTAGCTAGTTTGACAGAGGTGATCTCTACAATTTGGATAGCCGAATGTTTCGACAACATTCACAATGACATTCCAAATTTTAATTTTGATTTATTCTAGCGCTAATGTTCTCTTCGAACTTTGAAAATATAATACAATTGATATGTATACATGTTACGGAGAATTCGCGCGAATTCCAGCGTATACGTCGAATAAAATTATAACTATTCGTCCAGCGACTGTTGGCGTAAGCAGTATTGTTAAGCTATTTGATAATTTATACTATGCTATATTCTTTTTTATAATATATTAAGCATTTATTTACACATAACACATGTACTAGCTTTAATCAGCGAGATTTCTGGGGGCGAACGATGTTACGCGCAATTCTCTATTATTGTTAGATATGTGTATGTATGCGTGTGCGCACGTGTGATTTCACTTTGAATTTAGTTATTGAATTTAGTAATTGAATTTAGTTATTTATGGAGAACGCGCATTTTACCGTTCCTTCCCGTATATCTCTTCAAAGTGAAATATCGTTATGCTCGGGCGCTACTATTCTGTGATCTTAAAAAGAGAAATTAATCATCTTATACATTTTATCATAAATGAATTAATTTTATTGAAAATGTTCTTTCGGTAGCGATATCGTGCTCTATACATTGTACTATTGCTCCATTATATCCACGCACAAGTGCCGCTTAATTATACATGCTATTTTTATTGTTATCGCAGAGTGTTCTACTACTCTTTAACAGATCCCATTATGTATTCGATTGTACAATTTTTTATGCCTTTTGCAAATTTAAAAATAAAAGAGAGGGGAGAGAGAGAAAGAGAGAGAGAGAGAGAGAGAGAGAGAGAGAGAGAGAGAGAGAGAGAGAGAGAGAGAGAGAAATCCTGTGAGGGAGTACGCGAATAGAAAGGGTGAAATTTATTACGATTAAATCGGAACCGGTTAGCTCAAATTAAAATAAATTGAGAGCTGCATGGACTGATCCCGAGAATCTTAAAAAGTTTTTAAATTTTAGAAAAAGGTTCGATCACGTGAAATCTCATTGGAAGGAGCTCTTTCGGGGAAGCCTAAAAAAGGAAAACTAAAATCGTTCTCAGATTAGATTCTCGAGTTTCAGATTATTTAGGATTCGCCCTTTAAACCAGCTGCAAAACTTAAAACATCATGCTAAAGTATCTTTGATAATGTGCACTACGGTATTCCTTTGATAATAATCTTAAGGATGAATATTCAAGTTTGATTTCTTACCCTCTTTCTCCCCCTCATCTTTCCTCTCCTTCATATACTCCTCGTATTTGTTAACGTACAAGCGCGAGAAATACGAGCGCACAGATGAATGTTAACCATGTGGATTAATTAAACCGTTTTCCTCAAATCTCTGTGATCGTAAGTAGAGGAGACCGGGGTAAGTGGTTACACGGGGTAACTTGGTACAGTTAATTTTTTTAGTTGTCATAGAGGGCAGTACATTTTATGAATTTTTATATGATTTTTATAATATTCAACAACTTCACTTAGTTTAGCCGCCATATTTGAACTTTAGAAGACACTACGTATATTTTCTTGATTTTCACTATTAAAAGTAAATATTTCATTGTATAAATTGCTTGTGTTATTGTACATATAAGTTAGAGATGTGTGATTATCCTTTTATACATTTCTTTTATATACATTTGATTATAATAATACATTTTATTTGAATTGATATATATCAATCTATGTAGTTTTCGATTTGTTTTTTCGAATTGAAAATGAAAGGTTAGGACAAGTTGTTACATTTCGATCGGGATCGGTTGTTACAGTGTAACAACTGTACAGTGTAACTTTATCCTATTCAAAACTATTTTTTTTTCATCTATCGAATGATGCACAGACTTCTATAAATAGATTAAACTGCCTACTTCGTCTCCATGTTTGAAGATAACACTGGGCAGCGCCATATTTGTATTCCTCCACTCTTACAAGTATAAATCACGCAAACAATACTAATGTTTTCACATAAATTTATGCGATATTCACAGACAGGACACATATATATGCATATGAATTGAAATAAAGGCAACTCGGAATCAAGTTCATCTCTTTTTATCACATTGAGTCAGCAATCTAGTTATAAAAGTCTGTGGAATGGTGCGATCTTACAAAAAAAAAAGACAAACAGAGGATCTGTAAACATAGAAACGTAGCGGCAAAGGAAGTTAAAGACTGTCTGTGAAAAAAGTAGCAAATGCAAAATATTAATTTTATGATTATTTATGATTTTCCAAATATTAATTTTAATAATTAATTAAAGAAAAAATTTTGTAATATATTTCTTTATTTTTATATTATAAAATAAATATTCCGCATGAAGTATTTCTTGTTTGATTTTATTATTTTATTATTTATTATTATAATTTTGAATTTGCTTATATATATATATATTTTTTTTTTGTTTTAAGTGATATTGTAAACATGACGACTTGCTCCAGTAATAACTTACCTCACAGTGGAGTAAGTTAATTTATCTACTGCTAGTAAATTTTAATTTTCAGTATTTAAAGAGATAGATATAAAAAATCAGAAAAAATTGACTAGTTAAGGATGTACAAGCAAACAATGCATATTTATTAATTTAAATGTATACACATTACATATAGTACGGAAAAAATTGCTAATCAAAAATTGTAACAACTTGCCTCGGTCTCCCCTACTTTCCATTTTTTTCGGAAAAGTATAGCTTTTTGATTCAGTCTCTAGATTTGCGCGTTCATTCGTTTATTTTTGCTCGACTAAAAGGCTGAAATCGCGAACTAATCTTACTTATTCATACATTACATATTTTATATATATAAAATATGTAATGTGCATATATATAACGTGTAAGTCTCCCTCGCAAAATAAAAATCTAAGAATATACATCTTCTTAATATTTAAGATTACTCATGTACTATCTCGATCTCGTAATTTTGTTTACCGTGATAGATTTCTAAAGCATACAAATTCTTCTTCGATCGAGACGTACATATCCATTGAAGAAATATCTGTTCCAGACATGTCCTCAATAAATCCTCAAATAAGTGGTACAATTATTACTCTATATATAATGTGTGTGCAAACGCGCACGTTTATTGATTGCAAAATTCTTAATATTTAAACAAGTGCACGAGCCATATATTGATTCCAACGCGTAAGTGAGATCATCTTTGAAGAAGATAGGTCTACCTATAGAGTTATCTGT